AATAAACATAATAAATTATATACTATGGTAGAAAATAAGTGCTATGGTGCAAAAATGCAAAGTAGAGTAAGGCAGTGGATGCACAGGTGGGAGGCAGGGAGGAGGCACAGGCTGCAAATTTAAATAGAGTAGTCACGTAGACCTTATCAGGGAGGTGAGACTTAAGCAAAGACTTGAAGGAAGCAGAGGAATCAGCCATATGAATGACTGGAGGAGTATTCCAGGTGTTGCTTGATGATATCGTATCATAAGAAAATAAAAAAGAACAAAAAGAAAAAGATTATTCCAAACAGAAAAAACAGCCAATGTAAAGACCCTAAGGCAGGAACAACCAGTTGTTCAAATAGCAACAAAGGGGTCAGTGTGTCAGTAGCAGGGTCACAGAATAGGAGGTAAGTAAGGAGATGTTCAGGAGGTAATGGAGGACTGAATCAATTAGGGTATTGAAGACCATCATAACGTCTTGACTTTTATAGCTTATGGCGAACCTCCTGCCTTGTCCTCCAAAGTGCTGGGATTACAGGCATGAGCCACAATGCCCAGTGAAGTACAGCCTTGCAAGGTTTTAAGCAGAGGAATGATATGACCCATATTTTAAAAGGTTCGCCCTGCTACCGTCATGAGAAGGCACTTTGGAGGTCAAGAAGAGATGCAGAGAGACCAACTAGAGGAGCTATTGCAGGAATCCAGATGAGAGATGAGGATGGGACCAGTGGAAATGGTGAAAAGTGGTCATATTATATATATTTGAAAGGCAAAACCAAAATATATCCTGACAGTTTGAGGGTGGAATGAGAAAGAAACACAGGAGCCAAGGTTGACTCCATGGTTTGGAAGGATGGAGTTACCATCAGCTGAGATGGAGAACACTGTAGGTGGAGCAGGCATTGGTTGAGAGGGAGATGAAGTTTCAGATTTTGACATGCTGAGTTTGAGAAATCTATTAGATACTGAAGTAGAGATGTGAATATGTAGGTGGGTAAATAAATGTGGAGTTTTGGAGAAAGGTCTAAGCTGGAGATATAAATTTGAGATTCCTTTTTTCTTTTTTTTTTTTTTTTTTGAGACGGAGTTTCACTCATGTTACCCAGGCTGGAGTGCAATGGCGCGATCTCGGCTCACCGCAACCTCCGCCTCCTGGGTTCAGGCAATTCTCCTGCCTCAGCCTCCTGAGTAGCTGGGATTACAGGCACGCGCCACCATGCCCAGCTAATTTTTTGTATTTTTAGTGGAGACGGGGTTTCACCATGTTGACCAGGATGGTCTCGATCTCTTGACCTCGTGATCCACCCGCCTCGGCCTCCCAAAGTGCTGGGATTACAGGCTTGAGCCACCGCGCCCGGCCTCTTTTTTTTTTTTAATATATTTTTTAATAATAGAGATGGGGTTTTACCATGTTGGCCAGGATGGTCTCGATCTCCTGACCTCGTGATCCACCCTCCTTGGCCTCCCAAAGTGCTGGAATTACAGGCGTGAGCCACCGCGACCAGCCATAAAATTGAGATTCACTGGTGAATAGATGATTGGAAAAGGGAGGAAAGTCTCCTGGGTGGGAAGACTGAGTAGACAATTTTGAATGTTTTGCCACAAAGGGGAGAAAAGCAATGGTGTGGTAACCGGAGGACGAAATGGGGTAAAGGTTTCGTTTCGTTTCCGAGATCGGAGAAGTAATAACAGGTTTGCTTTTGATGGGAAATCATGCAGAAAGCAACAAGTTGACAATGTTGAAGATAGAGAAGAATTCCTGAAGCAATGTCCTCAGACACGTGAGAGAGAATGGGCTGATGTTAGAGTAACCATACATCCTACATTTACCTTGGAACAGCCCAAGTCTTTGCTTGTTGTCCTGGTGACTTGCTCAGTGAGCGTCCTCTTTCTCTTTCAGGTGTACCAATTTGAACAGTGAATTATTTGCCTACCCTAGATCTACCACACCAAGGGAGGAATTGGCTTAAGACAGCAGGAGGACAGAGGACATGGGTGCATATTAGAGTTAGTGGGTGGGTGTGCTGGTGGGAGTCTAAGGAAGTTGCCTTCTGATTGCTTCAATCTTATAGGAAAGCTGAAAGCAGAGTTAGCCAGAGTGAGAATAGGAGAGGAAGTTGGGAGAGGAAGTTGTTGGAACTTTGAAGAGACAGGAGTAGGAATGAAATATTGGTGTTTCTTTTTTCCTGATCTTTCCATTGTTGTGTTTTATGTCTTCTTAATCAATTATAGAGGCAGGGTCTCTCTGTCACCCAGGGTGGAGTGCAGTGGTGCAATCATGGCTTACTGTAGCCTCGAACTCCGGGGTTTAGATGATTCTCCTGCCTCAACCTCCTGAGTAAGCTGGGATTACAGGCATGAGCCACCATGCCTGGCCCTTATATCTTTTTCTTTTCTTCTTTCTTTTCCTTTATATTAGTCTTAGTAGGAATTTCAGATGTAGCAATATTGAATGCATGTAATCATTTAGAAAAGCATTATCTGCTCAATTTTCATGTTTTAACTTGGTGATCTCCAAAGTTAAGTATAAGCACCCCAGAAGGTTTTAAAAAAACTATCTCTGGGGTCCAAGAAAAATATCAAAGATGACTCTATTGAGACATTCAAAGACAAAAAAAAGAAAGAAAAATACCAAAGGACTCTTTCTTTCTATTTCTCTCTCTCTCTCTCTCTCTTCTTTTGTTTTTGATAGGGTCTCATTCTCACCCAGGCTGAAGTACCGTGGCATGATCTTGGCTTACTGCAACCTCTCCATCTCAGGCTAGGGTGATTGATCATCCCTCCCCTCACCTGATCCTCCCTAGTAGCTGAGACTAGAGGCCCACACTACCACGCCTGGCTCATTTTTGTATTTTTTGTAGAGACAGGATTTCACCATGTTGCCCAAACTGGTCTTGAACTCCAGGACTCAAATGATCCACCTCCCTCAGCCTCCCAAGTGTTGGGATTAGAGGCATGAGCTACTGCACCCGGCCAAAGGACTTTTCTTTATAATGGTTTAAACTCATTATTAACTTCTAGTTTTTTGTTTAAAATGTTTTAAAATAGGTGAAACCTCATCTCTACTAAAAATACAAAAATTAGCTGGGCGTGTTGGCGCATACCTGTAGTCCCAATTACTCGGGAGGCTGAGGCAGGAGAATTGCTTGAACCTGGGAGGCTGAGGTTGCAATGAGGTGAGATCTCGCCACTGCACTCCAATCTGGCGACAGAGCGAAACTCCATTTTTAAAAAAAAGGGTTTTAAAATAAATAATTTATAAATAAATATACATATATTGGGGCCCATGCTCAATGTTTGTTACTGATAGAGGTACATGATCAAAAGAGTTTGAAGGCCACTACATTAAACTATAAATTTTGTGAAGATAATTTGTATTGATTTCAATATGCACATGATTTGATTTATAGCTACATTATTTAAAAAGTCACTACATGTGATATTGTACAGAAATTATGCTTGCAATGGGAATAAAACTAATATATCTGCAAGAACTCAGCATTCCTCCTGGAACAAACTTCCTTCCAAACTTTGATAACTCAAGAAAAATGTGTTTTTAACTCCCCGTATAACAGTGATATTTTTCCTGATAAATCTGGGAGGCAGTACTCTACAGTGCCTTTGGACCACATTAAAGTAACAATGACATATCAAGTGCCTGATTGCTATAGCAAATATAGTTCTCCTGCCTACAGAAAATTGATTGAAATGTGCATGCACGACCAGCACAGTGGCTCATGCCCATAATCCCAGCACTTTGGGAGACTGAGGGGAGTGGTTCGCCTGAGGTCAGGAGATCAAGACCAGCCCGACCAACATGGTGAAACCCCATCTCTACTAATAATACAAAAAAATTAGCAGATTGTGGTGGCAGGCGCCTGTAATCCCAACTACTCAAGAGGCTGAGGCAGGGGAATGGCTTGAACCCAGCAGAGTGAGTGAGGCGAGATTGTGCCATTGCACTCCAGCCTGGGTGACAAGAGTTAACTCCGTCTCCAAAAAAAAAAGAAAAGAAAAATTTCATCCCCACACCCTTCTAGTCCTGCAGGACCTTCACTTCATTGTGTGTGCAGCTGTCACGTTAAGGAATGACTTGGGGTATGTGAAGCAATAGAAATGAGAACTAAAACGAAGACAACTAATGAAGGAGAGGAATGTCAAAAAATGCAGCTGATCTTGGGTTAGTTGCTGAAAAGAGCAGTTACATTTTAGCTTTTGTACTTGAAGCTTACTTCATTCTTTTTGCTTTGCCCGTCTATACCAATTATCCATCATTCCCGAAATATTTAAGTTTATTAATCCAGTGTTAAAAGCAGGCATCCATAAATGGAGCTTTAATTCAGAAATACCCTACTATAGCCCCGTGTTTCTAGCATAATGAATTCACTATATTATTAAAAGTCTGATTAAACTAGAACCTACAAAAATAGCATGTTTCTGAACTAATGTCCATAAATAGATTCAAAGGTCGACCCAGTACTCTCTGTAGCTAAGATGTATTCAGATAATTTACTATACACTTCTTCGAGGCACAGCAAAAAGAGCATAATTTCTATGGTTATAAAAGAAGTGTATATCTGCTTGAAAATATTACTAGGTCTGTGTGAACGGGGTCTCTCGTGGGCCAAGCTGCAAAGATCCGGCATGTATCTACCACAGGAGGGCAGTAACGCTCAACTGTTAACAGGGAAGCCAGCAGAGCGCTGGAGGCTCATTAGAGTAATCTTTAGAACCGATGGTTAACGCAGCAGTCTCTGGAAAGGACAGGGAAACAGGAACCATCGCCCAGACACTTTTGGGGCTTCTATCTGAGTAACAATGAGACAGGAAATAAGCAACAGGGTCTTGTGAAAGAAAGCGACCTCGCTCACCATCCTCGTGTCGTCGAATCACCATGGAGATGGCGACTAGCTTAATAAAGGCTGCAGATGGGCGTCTGCTCATGTGGATGTTTAGATAAGAACACAGTGGCAGGCGTCAAAGGAGTAGAGCGCTTCATGGGGATTAGGGAAGGGCAGAAGAAAAGCTGAGGGGAGCAGCAAAGCTGTTTTGTCTCCGAAAATTAGGACTTTAAGAGTGTCCTAGGGGCCAGGGGTGGTGGCTCACGCTTGTAATCCAAGCACTTTGGATGCCAAGGCAGGCGGATCACCTGAGGTCGGGAGTTCAAGACCAGCCTGATCAACACGGTGAAACCCCGTCTTTATATTCTTTATTTAAAAAAAAAAAAAAAAAAAAAGTGTCCTAGGGTAAATTTTATTTTATTTAGCTTCATAACATTGAGACATTAAGATAAAGTAATCTTTGGAAACCTGTAGCTTTACCTTGCAGGGTTTCCAGGAAACTAACAGAATTATACCCAAATGCGCCTTCAATATTTTAAGTATGTATGTCGATTGGCCTAGTATTGCCCATAAAATTAGATGAATCAGATATTTTGAATGTGATCTCATGACCAGCATCGGGTTTTTTTATATTCGTAATTCTCACTAATGTTACTGAGCTATAATCTGGAAAGACTTTTAGTATTTGAAAAACCTAATGCATTATTCCTTAATGTTTCAATTTAACATTTACTGAGCATTTACAATTGACTGAGAAAAGGCAATGCCAAGGTGGTGTGCATGTGTGTGAACTTGTGTGTGCCTGTGTGTGTGTGTTAAAACTGAGAATTCTAGAAAACTGTATCCACTTTTTTTTTTTTTTTTTTTTTGAGATGGAGTCTCACCCTGCCACCCAGGCTGGAGTGCAATGGCATAATCTGGGCTCACTGCAACCTCCACCTCCTGGGTTCAAGTGATTCTCCTGCCTCAGCCTCCCGAGTAGCAGGGACTACGGGCTCGTGCTACCATGCCTTGCTAATTTTTTGTATTTTTAGTAGAGACAGGGTTTCACTGTGTTAGCCAGGATGGATCATGAGGTCCAGAGTTTGAGACCAGCCTGGCCAACACAGTGAAACCCCATCTTTACTAAAAATACAAAATTTAGCTGGGCGTGGTGGCCTGCGCCTATAGTCCCAGCTACTGGGGAGGCTGAGGCAGAATTGCTTGAACCCGGAAGGTGGAGGTTTCGGTGAGCTAAGATGGCACCACTGAACTACAGTTTGGGTGGCAGAGCAAGACTCAAAACAAAACAAAACAAACAGCAACAAGAAAAACAAGACCCTGTCTCTATTATTTAAAATAAATAAATCTTTAACTCAATTATATAACTACATGGTTTATTCAATTCAAATCAGCAAACATTTATTGGGTTAGACACTCAGTCATTAGGAATAACCAAAATGAATAAAACAGACCTGTGGGTGAGAGGCATCTGAAAAAAAAAGGGGGTATTTATTTATTTATTTTTCAGACAGAGTCTCCCTCTACCGCCTAGGCTGGAGTGCAGTGGCATGATCTCAGTTCACTGCAATCTCCACCTCCAGGTTCAAGCAGATTCTCCTGCCTCGGCCTCCCGAGTAGCTGGGATTACAGGTACCTGCTACCATGGCCAGCTAATTTTTGTAGTTTTAGTAGAGATGGGGTTTCACCATGTTGGCCAGGCTCGTCTCGAATTCCTGACCTCAAGTGATTTGTCATCCTCTGCCTGCCACAGTGCTGGGATTATAGATGTGAGCCACCACACCCAGCCAGTAGTTAAGATTTTTGAGCAACTACCTCTGTGATAGACCTTCACATGTATTTTCTCAGCCTGTGGTCCCAGCTACTTGGAAGGCTGAAGTGGGAGGATCACTTGAGCCTGGGAGGTCGAGGCTGCAGTGAGCCATGATCGTTTTTTTATTTCTTCAAAGACAAAAACAATTCTTACAATTTAGTTTATGGAAGAAGAAACTGAGGCTCAGAGCAATTAAGTGACAAAACTCATTGGTTTAGAGCCAAGATTGGAACCCACATTTGTTCAACTCTTTATAGTCGTTCCATTGGATCTGAATATTAGTCACTGACTTCTGGGAAAAAGCAACTTTTATGAATGACAGTTTAACAGTTTTCAATTTTAAAAACTTAAAACATATAATGGTGTGCTGTTACTATATAGTTTTAAATAATTTTTAATTAAGAAATATTTCAAACATACAAGTATAGAGAATAACACATGTATAGTCATTAAGAAGCTATATTCTATAGCAACCTTGACACTGTCATGTTTGAGTTAGACTTTTTAAAGACTAAAACGTTATAGGAACAGCTGAGGATCTCTATCCCTCCTTGATCCCACTGTCTTCTCTTCTTTCCCTAGAGATAATACTATCAGGATTTGGTATTAGTTTCATGCATAATTTCTTATTTTTACTATATGCTAATGAATCCATAAATAATATAACACTATCTTTCAGGTTTTAAAACTGTTTGTGCCCCCAAAGTACATATTATTCTATAACTTATTTTGTGTATTGAATATTTTGAGATTTATTCATGAATACAAATAGCTCTAATTCTTTAACTGCTGTTAAGTATTCCATTGTATGACTATACCAAAATTTATCCATATTTCTGTAATTACATATTTACACAAGATTCTGCTTGGTTTTAACTCAAAACGTATCTAATGAACCTTAATCATAATATTGGAACTCATAATTTTAATAGTAAAGTGCAAAACTATCCACCCTTTTTTTCTTGATGCAGGTCATTCCCGAACCGAAGTCTGGAAATTTGGTAATGTTGTCATTGAACATCTATACCACTGGATACACATCTGTTCAGCTCTCACCAAGATAACCAGAAAACTAAATAGTGCTATTACACCTCCATTGCCCTCCAAGACTGACAATTATATGTATGCAAAAATGCCAGGGGAAGGTTTGCAAGAGAAGTGATAATGGATGATAATGGAATTGGTTCTGTACTTAGAATCCTTTGTTCGTGTTCAGTTTTGTTAACAATATTTTCCATTGGAAAGAAGTACCCATAAACGTCTTCTGCTCCTAACATTTACCTCAGCACTTTCTAAACCCAAAAGTGCTACGAAAGGAGAAATTTAGCCAAAAAATATCCAGCGAAGGTAGCCATAGCCAAATGTATGTAAGTATGTTATAGAATATATATAACTTTCCTTTCACTTTGAGCTTTGTATCTGCTGTGGAACTGTTGTGGTTGATTGGGTCATTATTTTTCATTCTTATAAGGTTCAAAGTAACAACCGAGGATTTAGAAAAAAAGAATATCAAATAATAAAGATATACCAAAAGAATACCAAGTAATAAAGATTTTTAAGAAACGGACTAAGAATTGTTTTTATAATTTTTCAAACACTTATCTAAACATTGCCTATTCCCTCTCCCCGCCCCCATACTCTTCCCTTAACGATTCAAAAGTCATTTTTGTTTTTTAACTTTTTAATTTTCATCAGTACATAGTAGGTGTACATATTTATGGGGTACTCAAAAGTCATTTTAATGAACAGAAATTCTTATGGGAAAATGTCCACGACTCATGGAAAAAAGAAAACACTTTTTTAATGATAAAAACCTCTTGAGTTCAAGAAGTACAAAAAGAATTTATATTTGTTTAAAGCTTGTTATTACGACAAACTTTACTGCTGTGGTGAGATTTCATCTTTGCAATAAGATATCTGATGACAGAGTCCAGTTTTAATAAAATTTTGGGAAATTAAACTTTATTTTCTTTATTAGATTGACTGACAAAATGTGATGTGTTCCAAATATCTTATAATTTGAGATTGGCCATCCCTGTTTAACCTTTTCTGATAAGAGGGCAGCGTTATTACTAGTCGTCGTCTCTTGGATGATCACATGCCCAGTTTTAACCCATATGCCTGTTTCATATTTGGAAGAGGACTTTTCAGGGCATTCACAGCAACATTGCTAGGAACAATGTTCTTGAAGATATTAAACTGAACCACATATCCTGATAGCTTCAGAACAAGTTTACAGAGTTCACTGTGAATATAAATGGCATTTTAGGCAACAAGGAAGGAAAGATTTTGCAGAATGCTATGTTTTTAACTATTATCATGGAAATTAAATTAAATGGCTTCCAGCATGATAATATCATACATTTGCATAGCACTTTAACTTGTTTCACATACTAACTTATTTGATTCTTCCAACAATCTATAAAGTAGGTAGTCCTGAGATTATCTCTATTTTATTTTATAAATGAGTTGCCCAGTTTACAACAGGTGTAAGAGGCAGAGAGAGTGGACCTAGCACCTAATTTCTGGTTTATTGCCCTTGCCAGCACCCTAGAAATCTCACTCTTTCCAACTTTCTTACTAGGTTAATGGCCATGCTGTCATTCTTTTGAAAACTACTTTAAAATCTGCAGCCAGATTCAAGTGATTCCCGTGCTTCAGCCTCCCAAGTAACTGGCATAACTATGGGCATGCACCACCACACCTGGCTAATTTTTGTATTTTGTCATAGAGACAAGTTTCACCACATTGGCAAGGCTGGTCTTGAACTCCTGGCCTCAAGTGATTGGCCCCCTCAGCCTCCCAAAGTGCTGGGATTACAGGTGTGAGTGAGCCACCACACCTAGCCAATTTCCTCTTAATCTAAATATGCTCAGTGACCAGATGCCCTGAACTTCCTGACATTCTCAATCCTCTAACTCAGAAGAACATTTTAAGGTAATTTAAAAATCGTGCATTCCTCTCATATATGAGGTTTTATGCAATACCACTCCCACAAAACTCCACCCTACATCATTAACGCCATATTCTTACTCTCCCACATAATCTTGTTACAAAGACCTCCCTCAGGATCAGAAAAAATAACTATTGGGTACTAGACTTAGTACCTGGGTGATGAAATAATATGTACAGTGAACCCCATGACACAAGTTTACCTATATAAGAAATCTGCACCTGTATCCGAACCTAAAAGTTTAAAAAAAAAATTTTAAAGCAACAATACAAATTTAATTAAAAGACCTCTCTCAATTGACAGGATCAATGAATTAAATGTTGCCTCTTTTGCCTGTTTTCTGGTTATAAACATAGCACCACTTTGGAGGTGGGGGCATTGTAAAACATCTTTGGTCTAGAATGCTGCCCAGTTCCATAACCTTTTTCTTGGTCAAATTTGTTAAATTTATAAATAAATAAATATTGCCTAATTTCTCTACCCTTAAGCTTGATTATTACCCTCAGTAAATGTACCACCTCCTAGTCATTAACCGTATTTAACCTCTCCTCCATCTACTGTCTGAGCTTAGATTGTCCTGCTCACAGACTTCAAGTGATGAGGCAACTCTAGATGGCCATTACGTGATTGCCTCACTAGCCACAGTTGTTTGAATTGGGGCTGACCCCTTACCAAAGTGAGACCAATTTGTGAATCAGCCTAATATAAAAAGCACCCAAACCATGGACAAGCCAAACTGGGAAACAGCAATGGAAGCAGTGTCTAAAAGGAAATTAAGTGTTTAGAGAGGCCAAAGGTGTCATGACAGGCCTTAATGGAAGTTGGTGCATACTGCCTTCAAGACACTACAAGTTAGCAGAAACTATAGGCTGAGAAAAGGTGTGAGTAGTTGCCTAGGGAAAAGAATGCAAAGAGAAGCAGAGATTGAAAGTAGTGAAGTCAATTTTAGTAACACTAGTGTCAAAAGATTAAATGGAAGATCCACAAGTTTCGGTAATAGATCCAATTCAGTCAACTCTTCTGTAAGTTTAAGATAATTGGAATTTTCTGTTGTATAACAACCATGAGGATAGTATTATTGATGATAGTATCTTTTACTGGTTCACCCAGCTTGTTCTTACAGCATTTCCAGTTAAAGTTTCCAAAGCTGGGTTCTAAAATGTTAGGAGGCTTCTCTGTGCCCTTATTCACTGCTGCATTACCACCATTGCTGCAGACTCTACAACACTGCATCTGAGAAACTGTCCCTTCTAGCGCTGGGAAAATCCCATCACTCCTTCATCAGTATGTCCCAAAGGCAATGGAAGAATACAGAATATACCAATTCAAAGACTCTAATTATCTAGGATATTGAGTTTTCTCCTGGGTAATTATGGGTAATGAATTCCCCATTCAGTCTCTTCAAGCAAGGGGCTTTATTTTAAGCAAAATAACACATACTTACATAGAGTCGTTTGTTATATAAGGTCTGTTGAGACCACAGCATTTCCCAGCTCCACCTTACCTCTATTTTCCTTGCTTCTGAGTCAACTACTTTCTCTTTTTTTGGAGACAGAGTCTTGCTCTGTCACCCAGGCTGGAGTGCAGTGGTGTGATCTTGGCTCACTGCAACCTCCGCCTCCGGGGTTCAAGCAATTCATTCTACTCTCTCGGTCTCCTGAGTAGCTGGGATTAGAGGCATACACCACCATGCCCAGCTAATTTTTTTTTTTTTTTTTTGTATTTTAGTAGGCACGGGGTTTCACCACGTTGATCAGGCTGGTCTCGAACTCCTGACCTTGTTATCCACCCACCTTGGCCTCCCAAAGTGTTGGGAATTGAGTAGTTGCCACAAAAACCATATGGGCCACATGGGCTAAACTATTTGCTATCTGACTGCAGAAAAAGTGTGCCAACCCCTATTTTAGCTGTGGTTTTGACATTTACCCCTAGATTGTTAAATAACACTCATGTGTGGTTACTTTTGCTTTTCTGATTTAGGCACTATCAGTCTCCCAGTATACAGTACAAAGGTTTAGCTCCTTCCTCAGCATACATACACACACGCTTCCCATCCATTCTTCCCAATATTATTACATGGTAATTTAAATTAGAATAGATCAATATTCAGTGTTTCTATTAGCAAGATTATGTATGCTACTTAGAGCTTACCCATGTCGTAAATTATAATTATTTTCCATTCCTGTACATTCATTTCCTTTCCCTAGAGTTAATGTCAAAAGAAAACTGGAGTGGCTATAATATCACGCAAGTAGATTTCAGAGCAAAGAATATTATAATAATAAAAGTTATTTCATAATGAAGAGTTGATTAAGAAAACATTATAATCTTAAACATTTATACACCTAATAACGGAGCTGCAAAATACATGAAGCTAAAACTAATAGAACTTCAAGTCTACAGACATAAAATGTTTACCTAGGACTGGGGGATTTGGAGGAAACTAGGAATGACTAATAGGCACATGGTTTCTTTGTTAGTTATTAAAAATAATCTAAAATTGGCTGGGTGCAGTGGCTCATGCCCATAATCCCAACACTTTGTCAGGCTGAGGTGGGGGGATCACCTGAGACAACCCAGGCCAACATGGCAAAACCCTATCTCTACTAAAGATACAAAAATTAGCTAAGCATGGTGGTGCATGCCTGTAATCCCAGCTATCGGGGAGGCTGAGGCAGGAGAATCGCTTTAACCCAGAAGGTTGCAGTAAGCCAAGATGTACCACTGCATTCCAGCCTGGGAAAAAAAAAATCTAAAATTGATTATGGTGAGCGTAGTACAACTCTTTGACTATACTAAACACCACTGAATTGTACATTTTTAATGAATGAATTGTGAATGAATAAATATGTGAATTATAGCTCAAACTTTTTTTTAAAGATTTTAAAAGATATCATACTAGATAGAAATCTGAATCTACACAGACATGGAATCACCAGAAATGATAAATATGTGGGTAAACATATTTTTCCTATTCAAGAAAATATTTTTGGGAGTCCAGTGCTTCCTCAGGCCGATGACACGATGCTGGGATCTGCAGCTCCGGGGACAGCGGAGATGTGACGGGCGGCCCTAGCTTCACCTTCAGTCCTCCTGCTGCCGGGCCTCGGCGGAGGCAGCGCAACCTCCACACCATTTTGTCAAATTTTAAGAACAAATGCACCTTATAGCTCATGGAAGAAAAAACACAAATCAAGACATTTTTGGGTTCCAAGTTGCCAAAACAGGAGTGAATGTACAAAACATACTTCTGGGAATAATTTGGTTTCACCGGATACAGACTACAGAGCTGGTTCTTCATTTGAACTCTCTCCATCTGATAGCTCTGATGGAATATACATGTGGGATGAAGAAGGCTTGGAACCCACTGGAAATGTCCATCCAGTTGGGAGCTATGAGTCCTCTGAAATGAACAGCATAATAGGGCTTTGGAGTCCAACCCTTCTGATCATCCAGAAGCAAATAAATCTCAAGCAGATGATACAGCATTGGAGTCCAACACTTCTGAAGCAAAGAAATCCCAAACAGATGCACAAGAAATAGGAGAAAACAGTGGTACAAACCATATATATACTGAGCATTTTTCTTTGAAATTCAGTTCATGTTCAACAATTTTCCTTGATGACAGCACAGCCAGCTGCCCCCATTTTAAAATGACACTAAAATCTGTGGCCTTGGAGATATATTTTCTTATCAAGAAAAGAGATGCAGATAGAACTTTGGAAATATTTGACGAATGTTTATACCCATTTACACAAAAAGAGGTTCTGGAAGAATACTTTATGTATGATCCTACAAACAAAATGATTTTCAGATTTATGCGCACTCCGTTTTATGCCAGAAGGCTAAATGCTGACTTAGCAATCATAAGTTTGGTATACATAAAAAGACTTGTAAAGTGTGCTGATACTGTATCAACATTTGTCCAACCAACTGGAAGAGGATTATCTTCGGAGCCATTCTTCTCGTCATCAAGGTTGGGAGCAATGTGGCTGTGTGCCATGACTTATGCAAGCTCTTTGAGAAAATTACAGTTGAAGATATGAATGAGTTGCAAAGGTACTTCTTGGAGCTAATTAATTATAATACCAACGTTCCTAGAAGCATGTATACCAGATACTACTTCTGTCTTTATGCCTTGGTATTCAGGCATGGCCTGGGTTTGCCATCTTACCTTCTTGACAGAAAGAGCATGGGATCTGCAGGCTTTATCAAGGACGGAACAAGACGAAGTGTTCTGTACTGCTTGCAAGAATGGGTCTTTGAGTGCTGATGATTTAATAAGTCTTCAGCACGCTAAGGCCATCCTCTCCTGAAGGAAGAAATGAGGGGTAATGTAACATCTGAACCCCTCACCAAAAAAGACAGGAAAATACCACCTCTCCTGCTAACTAGAAAAGTTTGTATTTTCAAAAGAAGAAATACCTCAATTCAAGTTAACTCAAGGACAACTAAGATTGCACTTTATAGTAAAGAATGGGACCTTGTCAGGGCAACAACAACACAGTCTTACACTCTTCTGTCCCTTTTAATGTAAACAGAGTTACAGAAACCACTCCAAAGCAAAGGCTCCTTCTGCCCACTCACAGATACTTGCTTAGTGTGTCGGCTGATAGCTGTGAACTATGTCAGGCTTTTTTTGTTTTGTTTTCAGATGAGTCTCACTCTGTTGCCAGGCTAGAGTGCAGTGGTGTGATCTCGGCTCAATGCAATTTCCACCTACTGTGTTCAAGCCATTCTCCTGCCTCAGCCTCCCTCCTTAATTAAATGTTTTATTTTAAGTAGCTGGGGTTACCGGGGCACCCGGCCTGTGTAAGGCTTTTAAAACAATGGTTTAAATTTTTAGATTTTAAAGATAACTTTTCTGTTTTTTTTAAATATTTTTTCTTTTCCCCCAAATTGCAGTATTAGTATTAAGACATGTCAAGCCGGGCGCGGTGGCTCAAGCCTGTAATCCCAGCACTTTGGGAGGCCGAGGCGGGTGGATCATGAGGTCAAGAGATCGAGACCATCCTGGTCAACATGGTGAAACCCCGTCTCTACTAAAAATACAAAACATTAGCTGGGCATAGTGGCGTGTGCCTGTAATCCCAGCTACTCAGGAGGCTGAGGCAGGAGAATTGCCTGAACCCAGGAGGCGGAGGTTGCGGTGAGCCGAGATCGCGCCATTGCACTCCAGCCTGGGTAACAAGAGTGAAACTCCGTCTCAAAAAAAAAAAAAAAAAAAAGACATGTCAAAGGAGTTCATGAATAGCACAGTCTTTTCTTCACAGGGGTCCGTCCTTTCAGGTGTCCCAGCCTGCTCACAGCAGCCATACACAGAGCCTTTATACTGAGAGAAGCTACAGAGTGCTGGAAAGCTGGGAATGCAGAGGCAGACACGATCAGAGTTGAGAATAGGAGGCGGGTTGTGATGTCCTCTGCGAGGGAATAACTGTTATTGTCCTGAGGCTGTTTCTAGATACTGTCAAATAAATTCAGATGCAGGTAAGACGTGACTTTATTCTAAAGGAGTATTGCAATGGGGAAAGTACCAAGCATCAGATCTGCAAGCATCTCACAAGAGGCAGAAAAGGGCTGTGTTTTATATGGAGGAGCAAACAAGAGCAGAAGGAAGGTGGGAGGAAGAGTGGAGAATGGCAAAATCAGATTCAAGCTTAGGGAATGTTTCAGCCAAAAGTCAGCCTGTTCTTAGGAGGGGCATAAACGGGGTTTGTATGTTGGCTCAGACTAAAGGCAGAGCAGAGTCCAGGATCTGGGGAAAGGAGAGAAACTTAAGCAAAGTTGTGATGGAATTCCTGGGACCCAGGAGGCAAAGGTTGCAGTGAGCTGAGATTGCACCAGTGCACTCCAGGGTGACAGAGTGAGACTCTGTCTCAAAAAAAAAAAAATAAATATTTTAAAAAAAATTTTTTTTTAACAAAAAAAAAAAAAAAAAAAAAGAAAAATTTTTTTAAATGAATCAACTTTTTATAGCAAAAATAATAATTTATTGTGCATTTATGACATAAGTAGAAGTAAAATTTGTGATAACAGCACAAAACTAGAAGATAAAATGGAAGTATACTTTTGTAAGCTTCTTATACTATACACAAAGTGGTAGATTCTTAATTTAAGGTAGACTTTAGGGTGATAAGTTAAAGACATATATTAGAAACCCTAAAGCAACAGCTTAAAAAAATAACAAGCCAAGAAGTATGGTCAATAAGCCAACAAAGGAGGCTGAAGCATGAGAATCATAAGCTGAATAACAGTTTGGAAAAATAGAAAACAAATACCAACCATACTTCTTTTTTTTTGAGATGGGGGTCTGACTATGTTGTGCGTGCTGGCCTCAACCTCCCAAAGTGCTGGGACTACAGGCCTGAGCCACACCGTCTGGCCTGCAATCATAATCACTTTAATGAAAATGTTTTAAAACATCCAAATTAAAAGGAAGAGACCGTCAGACTAGATAAAAAAGCAAGATCCAACTATATGCTGTCAACAAGTGATACAATTTGAATACACAAACACATTAAAACGGGTTGAAAAAGATATACTATGCTAGCATTAAACAAAAGAAAGCTAGTTATATTGATAGCAGACCAAGTAGACAAAGAGGAATAAAGAGGGCCACTTCTTATCTTAATGCTATAGACGTTAATGGAAGAGAACATAACAATCCTAAATGTTTACATACCTAACTTCAAAATGCATGACACACACTGATGGAATCGAAAGCAGAAGTAAATTCACAATTATAGCAGGAGATTTCAACATCCTTCTGTTAGTAATTGATCCCTTTGGCTGCTCTGAGACTAGTCTGCAATGAACCAAGAGTGAATGAGTGCACAGATGAGGTTAGAGTTTTTAAAAAGATATCACATATGGGCCGGGCACGGTGGCTCACATCTGTAATCCCAGCACTTTGGGAGGCTGAGGCGGGCGGATCACCTAAGGTCAGGAGTTCAAGACCAGCCTGGCCAACAATGGTGAAACCCTACTGCTACCAAAAAATACAAAAATTAGTCAAGCGTGGTGGCGGGCGGCTGTAATCCCAGCTACTGGACAGGCTGAGGCAGGAGAATCGTTTGAACCCTGGGAGGCGGAGGTTGCAGTGAGTCCGGATCATGCCATTGCACTTTCCAGCCTGGGAGACAAAAGTGAGACTCCGTCTCAAAAAAAAAAAAAAAAAAAAAAAAGGTTTCATATATGATCTTGATTCCTCTACCCAGTGGCACCGTGAACAGTATTATTAATTTTGGTCCTACGCAAGGTATTATTAACATATGGATTTTCATTTTTCACCTAATTATCCTGAACCAGTTAAACTGAACACTTGGAAAAGGGGGCGGGGGGCGGATATCAATAACCAAGGCAGCGGTTCTTGAGTATCAGAATTACCCGCTGGTTAAAATTCAGATAGCTTGCCCCACTCCAAAGTTTCTGATTCGGCAGGTTTGGGGTGGAGCCCGAGAATTTGCCATTTTAACAATATTTCCCGTGATGCTGATGCCGCTGGTCCCAGAGTCACACTCTGCAAACAACTGGCCTAGAACGTTGTCACTCCTTTCTCCTACAGATTTTAAGGCAGACAGTGGGCTCAGAAACAAAACAGAGGCCGCAGGATCCGATTCCCCGTAGCGTTGAAGTGACTCAAACTACCGATCCAACCGATAAGCAGGATCCGGGCCACCTAAAACCGCGCGAGAGTTTATGTGACGTCGTCGGCGTTAGCGTCACGGCGGCGTCGGCCACGTTCAGCGGACACGGGAGCAAGATGGCGATTCCGGGCAGGCAGTGAGTGATCCGGGAGTTAGGGTCAGGCTGGGGGATGAGAAACTACGGCGACTGTGTCTTTGGCCAAGGAGTTTTAAATGCGCTGGAAGTGAAGGGGCTGTGTCGTCAGGGGTAGAGACGGGAAAAAACGAGAAGTCCTGAGGAACATAGACTCCCCTCCCCCGTACATTTTCCAGGATGGAAGCCCGAAGTTTGAGGGAGAAACTTGTGAGGAAATAAAGGAAGTTAGGCTGAGGGGCAGAGAGCGAGACTTTTCTATTTTCCAAAAGCTCGGTCTGAGGCCCCTCAGTCTTGCTTCCTACCCCGCGCTTGAGTTTCTCCCCGCTTGGATGCTCTCAGGGGCAGTGTGAAGAGAGGCAGTTCCTGGCTTCCTTAGAGGGCCTTGTTCTCCTTGGCAGAAGCTCAAGTCCTGATTCCCGCCCTTCCTTCTCGTTTTAGGAATATTGTTCTGAGAAGCCACAGAAAAAGGGTAGGCATGTAGGAAATGGGGGTATACGTTGCCGCAAAAGAGACAAATACTGTACGTACTTGAAAGTTTTACCTTTGATGTGTAACCCTTATTTTGATGCGGCCTCCTGTGATCTCCGCATCTTAAAGGCCAAAACGTGAGAAACTAAAGAAGTTGAATCTGATGGGATGGTTCTCTCAGCTGCCCCGAGGCTAAGCACGTGATCTTAATAAAGTGTAAGGCGAACTTGCCTCTGTGGCTACTTGGGGTTCTCAGTTAATCTTTTAAAAATTTTCGTGAGTTACACTATCCAGTCAGTTCTTAGAAACTGTTTAAGTACACAGTAGGGGAAAAAAAAAAATAGCCATTTTCTTGACTTGTTAGACCACAAGGATAATTTAAAGTATTTAAAAATCTTTAGTGGACATGAACTAAGCTTTCCTCTACACATTTTTTTTTAAATGTTACTGTCACTTCGCCATCTTAAAACATTTCTGAACTTTTTATTTATCTCTCTTCTTTGATAAAAATGGTATTTGAGTTTGGCCTCTGTCCATAAATGATCACTTAGAGTAATAATTATAGAACCCTATGGCATGTTAGAATTTTGAGATCACTGAGAAGCAGAAGCAGTCTGTTAATGTGTTCATAAAGCTTATGATATGTTTTGATTTGGTAGCTTCATGTGGAAGAGATAGTAGATGTGTTATTTGTTAACATTTAAACATAACGGTTTAATTTCTTTCAAAAAAAAATATGCAGGTATGGGCTTATTTTGCCAAAGAAAACACAGCAGTTGCACCCTGTTTTGCAAAAACCTTCAGTGTTTGGGAATGATTCTGATGATGATGATGAGGTAAGGAAACCTGTTTTACTCGTGCATTGTTGGAAATGTAAATTTTTTAAAAATTGAACTTGTGACTGATATCTTTGCCTTTATTTGTCAATACAGTGAAGTATAATTTACAGAATTATCGAAAGGAATGTTTAAAGAAAGCAGCTCCACTGATTTTTTTAAAGATTTTTTTTCCTCTAAAAGCTGTAAACTTTACCTTTAAACAAACAGTCTTTTCAGACTACTGAAATTGATTTAACAAAATTGTCAATGTAAAGATCCGTAGTTATGAGTTAGTAAGATGTCACCAATTTCCTACAGATTTTTAGCAAAGCAGTTTTTAATTTGTTAACCATGATCTAAGATCACTATTTAACAGTTCCTAATGACACTACTTTTTTTAAATTCAGTGTCTGCTAAATGTAATTTCTCAGTTATAATCACTGTAGTGAATAGTTAACCTTGATAGTACTTTAATAACATCTAATATAAAAATTTTCTATTTTAGCATCCAAAACAGTGTTTTTCTTTTTTTCTTTTTTTTTTTTTTGAGACGGAGTTTCGCTCTTGTTACCCAGGCTGGAGTGCAATGGCGCGATCTCGGCTCACCGCAACCTCCGCCTCCTGGGTTCAGGCAATTCTCCTGCCTCAGCCTCCTGAGCAGCTGGGACTACAGGCACGCGCCACCATGCCCAGCTAATTTTTTGTATTTTTAGTAGAGACGGGGTTTCACCATGTTGACCAGGATGGTCTTGATCTCTTGGCCTCGTGATCCACCCGCCTCGGCCTCCCAAAGTGCTGGGATTACAGGCTTGAGCCACCGCGCCCGGCCGTTTCTTTTTTTTAAGATGGGGTTTCACCATGATGGCCAGGCTGGTTTTGAACTCCTGACCTCAGGTGATCCACCCACCTCAGCCTCCCAAAGTGCTAAGATTACAGGCGTGAGCCACTGCGCCCAGCTGAAGCAGTGTTTTTCTGTGAAACCCACAGTTATGTATCAGAAACAACCCCAAATATGTGCTTTTTTTTTTTTTTTGAGGTGGAGTCTTGCTCAGTTGCCCAGGCTGGAGTGTAGTGTTGCATTCTTGACTCACTGCAACCTCAGCCTCCCAGGTTCAAGCAATTCTGTCTCAGCCTCCAGAGTAGCTGGGATTACAGGCATCTGCCATCATGCCTGGCTAATTTTTGGCCAGACCGGTCTCGAATTCCTGACCTCAGGTGATCTGCCCACCTCAGCCTCCCAAAAGTCTGGGATTATAGGAGTGAGCCACCGTGCCCAGCAAATGTGTGCTTTTCTAATACTCCATGTTTTAATCTTTCTTTTTTCTTTTAGTTTCTTTTTTTTCTTTCTTCCAAATTTCTCTCTTGTTACCTAGGCTGGAGTGCAGTGGCACAATCTTGGCTCACTGCAACCTCTGCCTCCTAGGTTCAAGTGAGTCTCCTGCTTCAGTCTCTCCAGTAGCACCTGCCACCACACCTGGCTAATTTTTTGTATTTTTAGTAAAGACGGAGTTTCACCATATTGGCCAGGCTGGTCTTGAATCTGTCCTCAGGTGATTCATCGGCTTTGGCCTCCCAAAGTGCTGGGATTACAGGCATGAGCCACCACACCCAGCCCCCACTTTTTTTTTTTTTTCTTTTTTTGAGATGCACTCTCCCTCTGTCACCCAGGTTGAAGTATAGCAGTGTAAACTCAGCTCACTGCAATTTCTGTGTCGAGGGTTCAAGTGATTCTCCTGCCTCAGCTTGCTGAATAGCCGGGATTATAGGCATGCACCACCACACCTGGCTAATTCTTGGTAGTTTTGGTAGAAGCAGGATTTCACCATGTTGGCCAGGCTGGTCTCGAACTCCTGACCTCAGGTGATCCACTGACTTTGGCCTCCCAAAGTGCTGAGATTACAGGCCTGAGTCACTTCGCCCTGCATGTTTCTTAAAACAAAGAACTTTGCATCAGTTAAGCTGGTACTTTGTTTGGTCTGGCAGAAGAATAGCTTGTTTTTCAGTTTTTTTTTTTTGAGACAGAGTTTCGTTCTTGTTGCCCAGGCTGGAGTGCAATGGTGCAATCTCAGCTCACTGGAACCTCTGTCTCCTGGGTTCAAGCAATTCTCCTGCCTCAGCCTCCCGAGTAGCTGGGATTCCTGCCACCACACCTGGCTAATGTTTTGTATTTTTTGTAGAGGTAGGGTTTCACCATGTTGGCAAGGTTTGTCTCCAACTCCTGACCTCAGGTGATTCACCCACTTTACCTCCCAAAGTGCTGGGATTATAGGCATGAGCTGCTGCGCCTGGCTGTTTTTCAGTTTTTATTATACAATAGCATGGGTAGATAATTGAACGTATTTGGTATTTCTTTGCTAGTTTTGAAGACATTGGCTCTGTATGGCTCACGCTTTTTAAAAATTGAGGTGTAATTTACATATAAAATTCTCAGATTTTAAGTATATAGGTTGATGATTTTTGAGAAATGTATATGCCCCAATCAAGATTTAAACATTCCCCTCCCAAACAGTCTTCCATACCCTCCTGGAGTCAGTCTACCTCCCCACTTGCTGCCCCAGACAAGTGATCTTATTTCTATTGCTAAATTAGTTTTGCCTGTTATAGAGTTTCATATAAAAGAAATCATACAGTATGTACTCTTTTATATCTAACTTACTCCACTCAGTATATTGCCAGATCCATCTTGTAGTTGTAGAATCACATTTTTCTTAAAATGGATTTTTCCTCCTTAACAGTGACTTGTTTTTCTTCCATTTTTTAAAAATTTCTTCATAAAATTTTAGAATAATGGACCATAAGAAATGAATCAAGGTTACTAGTTAAATCTCCGTTTCTGTGTAGCCAACTACAGTATTTTCAAATAGAATATTGAGGAAGTTACTAATTACAAATTTTGATTTTTTAATTATGTTGTTTCATTAATATTTAATATCTACTATAGGTTAAGAGTTGATGAGTTTTGCATCTGTAGCTTAAGTGCTTTTTATTATGTGGTACCCTTTTAACTGTTTTTCGGGGGACTGTATATAGTGTTGCTTTCAACCAGTGTCTAGTTTAGTGAGGAAGACAGACATGTAAACATGAATATAAAGCAGACTGAAATTTGGAAAGGAAACTAAGATAGTGAGGATTCCTATGTGCTCATTAAACTTTATTTGATCTTCCAGATCACTCTGTGATGTATTATTATTCTCATTTTACATGTCAGAAAATTGAAGCTCGGGTGTAGTAATTTGTTCAAGGCCATGTGACTGAAAAATAAGTGGCAAGATTGGGATTTGAACACAGACCTCTCTGGTCCCCAAACCTATACTCTTCTTTCTTCTGTCTTGCCTTGTTTTAGTAATAGAGCTACAGAATGTTAATGAAATGTAGAGAATGAAATAATTCACTTTATTGCAGGAAAATCAAGGCAGAAATAAGCATTTAAATAGCCTTCAAGGCTGGTTTAGATTTCAGTAGGCAAAAATAGAGGTGGAGGCCAGGCGTGGTGGCTCACGCTTGTAATCCCAACACTTTGGGAGGCCCAGGCAGCCTGATCACCTGAGGTTAGGAGTATGAGACCAGCCTGACCAACATGGAGAAACCCCGTCTCTACTAAAAATACAAAATTAGCTGGGCATGGTGGCGCATGCCTGTAATCTCAGCTACTTGGGAGGCTGAGACAGGAGAATCGCTTGAACCTGGGAGGCAGAGGTTGCTATGAGCCAAGATTGCACCATTGAATTCCAGCTTGGGCAACAAGAGCAAAACTCTGTCTCAGAAAAAAAATATAGGGGTGGAAATAATTTCAGTTGGGAGAGAACAGCAAAAAAATACAGAATGGCATACAAATACAAGGCATTTTTGTGGAATAACGTGGCTGGAGAACAGGGTGTATAGGAAAAAATGTTGCAAATGAGGTTGTAACAGGATTGGGCCAGATTGTGGAGTACCTTAAATTTTTCATATAAAATTTCAACTTTATATTTTTAGGTAGTTTTTGAGTAATTCAGTGATATCACACTTTTATCTTGGGAAGATAACTCTTGAATTGTAAAGCAAAGAATGGGAGAAATGAATGATAAGGTTCAAAATACTTGTTAGAAGGCTTTTTCAGGTAAGAGACATCAACCTAGGTTGAGGTCAGTGAGAATAAATGGAAAATATGAGAGATACCACAGAAATAAATAGGAACTGGAAGCCACATCGAATATGTGGGAAGGTAAGAGATGAGTTCTTATGCAAGATCTTATGCAAGATCTTATGTAGCCCAGACTCGAGTGCAGTGGTGTGATCTTGGCTCACTGCAACCTCTGCCTCCCAGGTTCTGGTTCAAACAGTTCTCCTACCTCAGCCTCCCAAGTAGCTGGATTACAGGCACGAGCCATTATGCCCAGGTAATTTTTGTATTTTTTAGGAGAGATGGGGTTTCACCATGTTGGCCAGTCTGGTCTTGAACTCCTGACTCAAGTCATCCGCCTGCCTTGGCCTCCCAAAGTGCTGGGATTATAGGCGTGAGCCACTGCGCCTGGCCCAGTTCACTGGTTCTTCAGAGTTGTGCAGGCATCACTACTATTCAGAACATTTTCCTCATCCAGAAAGAAACTGTGTACCTGTTATAGTCACTCCCCATTTTCCTCACCCCTAAACCCTGGCAACCACTAATCTTTCTGTTGCTATAGGTTTGCCTGTTCTGCACATTTCATATAAATAGAATCATGCAATAGGCTTTCTTTTGTGTCTGACTTCCTTCACTTAGCATGATGTTCTCAGGTTGTAGTGTCAGTACTCTTTTTTTATTACTGAATAATATTCCATTGTATGAATGTACGGTATTTATTTATTAGTGGTAGGCATTTGGGTTTTTCCCAATTTTTGGCAATTATAGATAATGCTGGTATAAATATTTGTGTATAGGTTTTCTGTATGGACCTGTTTTCATTTCTGTTGGATATATACCTAGGATAGAATTTCTGGTTCCTCTGATAACTCTGGTTTTATTTATATATATTTTTTGAGATGGAGTTTTGTTCTTG